AAGACAAACAATTGAAAAGGGAGAGGGGTGACAGCCCTTCTTCTAGCGCCAAACTGTTGCTGTCTTGAATTAGCAACTTAGAATTAAACACAGTTGATGTTCAAAGAACGAAGATAAAAGTTTGATTGGATTTTATTGATTATGTTCACGAGTACAGAAGTCGGTTTCTAACTGAAAACCGAGGTTGTCTTAAATTCATGTACAATGTGATCGAAAACAGATCCTTGTACTATCATAAATTCTGCTATTTATAGTACGGTGGCTTTTGTCTTCTTCCTCGAAATGGATAGAGATGCATTTAATATTGAGCTGCTTTGTTTTGAGGCGGCGGGAAACATCAATGATTGCCTTTTTGTTTCGTTGGTCCAATCAGATGCTTCTAATGATTACTTTTTGTTTGGAATGCTCAAACTTCATAGTAGTCGGTTGACTTGATGTCGGTTTATTTACATTGATTTCGGATGTCGGTTTTGATCTTCTTGATGGTCTGTCGGAAGAGATCTTCCGGAAATCGGCAATTATAATGAAGTCGGTGACTTGCTCTAATATATTCCAACTCGCAGTACTTTAATTCTGATTACTGGATTTGATATCAACAGGTGCTTTCATTAAATGCATAATACATTATCCGAATATGAGAGCAACAAACTTTATATAAACTGAGAGCAGTCTAATTTTTGTAAAATATGTAAACTTTAAACGTATTTTATATATAAAATTTTATATACTTTTAAACATGTTAGTTGGGCAAATTTTAAGGATATATATATGTGTGTGTGCTAACTTTAAGTATATATATTTTTCTTATAAAATAGTCTAGACAAAATTGAGGTAATTTCACATTTTTCAATAATAATATAAAATATTTTAATACTTTCACATATGTTATATAATAGTCTGCGTATTCTTAATGTCTTTTGGTTGTAACACTGTTAACACATATAATATTAGATACTTTTAAACATATTTAGATATTTTTTTTACTCATTCTTTAATATCTATGTGCATAAAAAGAGAATAAGATTTATAAAAAATTTTCCGGCAATATACTAAATGTTAGATAAAAATCTCATTTTATTTGTTATATAATATTTCGAGTTGCATTAATTTTGATTTGTATGTGTAAAATTGATAAATTAAGCGTATGAAAAGGAACGTACGAATTACTGTAAAGATTTAAAAAATAAAAAATAAATCTAATTTTTGAATATTTTCTAAACGAATTTATGTCATAATTCGTCATAATTTTCCCACATCATGTCAATATTTATTTTATCTATACTAGGTAAAAGGTAAATCATTATCTCAATATTTATTCTATATATTCTAAGTAAATCTTCTCATCTATCTCAACGGTCCGCAGGTAGTATTTCATACTTTTCTATTCATAATCAAATATACCAAACCTTCACAAATTTTACTTCACAAAGAAAGTGTTCAATAATTTATATTTTTTTTCCTGCTTTGCAATCCATTTATTTTTATTACATATATATAAATTATATTATTTTTAACATTTCACACGTTAAACATTTCAGGAAAATATACCATCCCGTGCATCGCACGGGTACTGTACTAGTTCGGTACAAAAGACAGTACGAATGTAGGCTCTATACGTGACTTATATGGTATTAATGAGAGCATTTTACTCATTGCATTTAATGTTGCCTTTTGCTCCTTATATAGGAAGTGTGAGGTTTACATCTCCATTTCAGGTTTTCTTTTACCTTTTGACTTTACAAGATATTAATTAGATATTTAGTCACACCACATTTAAGGCTATCGTACTATAAAACACCATCTCGATAAAGCAGATGAGTCGGGGTTACGACACGTGTCCCCGCCAGTTAAGCGCCATTAGATGGATGATTATCAAATCCAGTTGCATTTAATGCATATCGTACGAGCAATATTCTGGTAATGATGGAACTGATCGAACACGCTACCTGCTTCTTGCTCAGTGTCTATCTCTGTTCGGTCCATTCCCTTGTTTCTTGAATAACGAACCTGAGCAGATTTTATTTAATCTAATTCTTATGTCCGTTCAGTCTATACCCCCTACAGTATTATGTAAATACATTTTATACTGTATTATGAATAAAACGTATTCCAAGAATACGTTTTACACTCTAAAACGTATTATCAGAAAACACCTTTTTATTTTTGTCCATATTTTTTTTTTTGTCCAGTTATTTTTTGTTTTTTTGTTAGTGTAAAAAATTCTTCTCATGTTGCATCATGTGTATGGCCAAGCTTGAAGATGATGAGCCAAACGGGACGGGAAAACTACCCTCCTGCCCTTACCACTCTCTCAATTAGGTTGGGTTGGGTGATTCTCTTCCAGAAAATGGGCTGATTGGACGGCCTAACAGCTCATTTGAAAAGACGAATATTCCACATCCTAGGGGACATGTAATTGGGCTTGTCCCAAAGCATGAAAAATCTATTTTTTTTTTCTTTTATTAAAAAAAATTATTATAAAACTATTATATTTCGTTCGGATTATTAGCTAAATCTATCATTATATAAAAAGAATAACCTTTTTACAAATTTAGAAACTTTTTTCCGCCAAAATCATTAAATATATCCTAATATAGTAATTGTTGGACAAATCTAAATAGGCAAAAATATCGGCTAATTTTTTTTTAATTTATCAAAACCGTTGTTTGACAATAAATATTTGTTTTTCTTTTTCCTATTTTTAATATAAATCTATACGCTTATCTCTTCTGTTACAAAATCTCATTGCATACGTCTCCCGTGTTTAAAAAATTTCATCCCTTATCTATACAGATTTAAAAAAATAAAATAAAATAGAAACCAATTCATAATTACTACTAGAAATCCATTATCTTTAAAAAGAAAAAATAGAATAAAATAGAAACCAATTCATAATTACTACTGAAAATTCATTATCTACTTTAAGAAGCTAATTTTTATCGGTCTAATTACTAATATTTTTACAAATATACTAACCATACAAAAAAGTATAATAATAATTTTGAAATAGTGTGTAATCAAATTTTTTTATATTATCTTATACAAAATAATTTTACATTGTTTGACCCCGAATCTTTAATTTATAATTATTAAGTATTGTTTATCTTTCTCTTTAATTTATAATTATTTTTTTTTCTTCCTCTTTTTAAATAGGATCAATAGTAGTTTCCACTTGGATCATTAAGTGATTTAAACTCGAGGTCTATTTATAATATTGTTAATTTAATATTATTTCCGTGCATCGCACGGGGTATACACTAGTAATGAATGAATGGGTGGGTTGTTAAATTAAAGAAATTACTCTCAAATATTATAATATATATATATATCTATATCTATATAAAAAGAATTACTATTTACTAAGCAAAAAAGTCAATGAGCATTTAATGCATACTTTAGTTGAAAACTTTTAAATATATGCATTAATTGCTTTAATATATACACATTTCCAAATCATATATGATAAAAAAGATTCTTTCCTTGAACAATTTTATTATCATATGCAATAATTTTATTGATATTCATTATAATAAACTATAATTTGATTTTTCATAATTGGTGTTGATAATGTTTTTGTCAACATAACCATGAAAACAAATTTTAAGTCTTAACCATAATATTAATTTTTTTTTTCAAAAATGTTGACTTTCATCCTAAAATATTTATAAACAATCGTAACATGTTAAATAATTCTCCCTCTAACTAATTAGCCGAAATCCAGTTGGTGAATAATAATTTTCAATAATATTTTTTTAACCTTTATTTAATTATATAAACAAATAATTTCTTTAAACTAAAATAATTTACCATTTAAGAGATAATGATCACATCATTAAATAATTTATTAACGGCTAAATAATAAAATTAAAATATATTAACTATTCTGTACAGTTTCAATATTTGATTTATTTGTATATTATTGTCAACCACGATAATTTTATCATTTTTTATTTTTATTTGTTTCCATAATGAATTTATTGTAATATATATATTTATATTGCATAGTATAATAAACTAATAAAACCTTAGGATGCAAATTAGAAAAATCTCTTGATTATATAAGGGTTTATTATTTGACAATTTGCTAAATCAATTTTTTTTTTATTATTATGAGAAATTTTAAAAAACATGTGTGTTTATTTTATAAACATTTATACACAAAATTTTATTTTAAACTTCATTACATAAACTAAAAAGAAGTAGACAACTATTATAACCTTTAGAAATAATAATAATGACATTATATGACAACAAATATTATAATAAAATATTAATTGAGTATTAAATGGTGAACAAGAATAAGAATAATTTTTTTTATATCGATGAATAAATATATTGTAAAATTAAATTTATATTAGTATAACGTGTAAGCAGAATGATATATTAATTAATATATCAACGTTATGACTAAAATAAATATCACTGATTGAAAGAAGTGGAAAACTGATGATGCAACCTATTATTTTTTGCCAAAATGTACAAGCCCTATAGAAATTACTCAATTAATATATGTGTCCCATGCATCGCACGGGGTATGCACTAGTACATACATATTAGTGGTCCTTGTAAGTTGGTTTACCGCAAGAATTATTAATTAATTAATAAGGTTTGGAGCACAAGACAATAATGTAATTGAGGTAAAGGAAACAAATTAAATAAAATAAAATATTGTGTTGAAATGAAGTGCAATATTATTAATTTAATGAAGTGATGAGACTGAATTGAATTGATAAGGAACGAGGTGAGCAAGATTAATAAGGGAAAATGAACTTAAAATATTATTCAGAGAGACGGAGACAGTCAGACCAGACAAAAGACGAAGGCAGACAGACCTACAGACGACGGACTCATATAATTAATTTTCTTACTAATAACAATCATCTTCTTCTTCTTTCATATATAATTATAAATATATATACATAATTAATTTTCTTATTAATTAATCAACCATCTTCTTCTTTCATAAATATTCTTATTAATCAACCATCATATATCTTCTAGACTTCTTCTTCTTCTTCTTCTTCTTCTTCTTCTTCTTCTTCTTTCTCATCATCATCAATGTTTTTGGTGTTTGGCGGTGGTTTTCCCAGGAAAAGTGCACGGGCATTCTGGTCGCTGCAGTACAAGCATGGATGCTGCTTATCAATTTTGCGTCCTTTCTGCAGAAAAATTCTAGCGTTCATCACCGTGTCTCGATTTGTGAGCCTCTTATACTGCCCTGACCTCAGAATTTGGTTGAGTAATGCGTTAGTGAATGCACCACATTTCATGCGGCGATCATTCACGTCTTCACATGCAAGCTCATCTTTTTGGCACGCGCTGAGCAATATGCCCTGATCTGGTTTCAAAGGGCGCACAGCGTTGGCCATTTGTGGGTCACGGAACATCAAACTTGCATCCTCTCCGAAAACCTCCACCAGCAGGGCCCCAATGCTCACCTCATCACTCTCGGTTTTGCCGGTTAAATTCTTCAGATATTCGACCACGGACTCGATCGGCATCATCCGATTCCGACTGCCACCATCAGACGATGATTCAGCAGCAGCAGCTTCTGCCCGGGGGCTGCCCGGCCCAATCTGTGGCTTTTCTTTGTCTATGAGTTCACCACTACAGCAGGAATCAGCAACGATGGTGAAGGTGACAGCTGGCGGCACCCGGTTGACCAGGATGCGGAAGTCAACGCCTGCAGCCCATTATTACATTAAAATAAAATTAAAATGATTGATTGATGTAATTCAAGAATAATTAATTATTAAATTCACTAATTACTTGTGATGAAGTTAAAATCTGACGCCACAATAGCAGGCTCTTGTTTGTCACCAGTTTTGGAGCCGTGGCCAGAAAAATAAAAGAGCAGAGTGTCACCAGCTTTTGCTCTGGATACCATTGCATCCAGTGCTCTTTTTATGTTTCGTGCCGTAGGCATTGTGTTTCCGGTCTTGTCAGTCAGCACATGAATGTTCTCGGCCTGGAAACCAAGGTGGCTTTGAAGAACCTGGATTCGGACCGGACCGGACCAAAACAATAATAATAGTAATAATTAATTAAGGTGTAAAAATCACCAAGTGCAATTTTATTTTATTTTATATATTAATTATTAAGGAGTTAATTAATTATATGCCCAAAAGTATATACTATTGTAGTATATATTAAACAACAATTTACCTTACGCATGTCCAGTGCGTCGTTGTGGCATCCTTTCAACCGCAGTGAATGGCCAGGATAATTACACCCCACCACAACAGCTATTTTCTTGGTTTGGGCGGCTACGGAATATTCCNGTGGTTTGACTTTGAGTAGTGTTTGCTTGTGTCCTCAAATTCCTGCACCTACATACCCCATTTTTATAACAGGAGCAAAAAAAAAAAGAATAAAAATACTTTGCTAAAAAATATAAATTATATATATATACACATATTAGGAAGTTAGTAACATTTTTGCCTAAGTATATATTCTTTGTGATTTAAGTATATAAGGTTAATTAATTAATTAATTAAGATTCTTTTGTTTATTTTATATATTCTCTCCTCATCAGTCATCACTAACCGTACGTCTTATCTTGGGAAAAAATGAATCAAACTATATACGGTCTGTACCAACTTCCCCCACTAATAAAAAACTTATGACGAATATAACTATATACATGTATGTATATAAGTCTATTAGTTATATATGTATGTATATAAGTCTATTATTGTTGTAGCTTTTCAGGTGGGGAATATAGCTTTTGAGGTGGGGAATAAAGCTTTTGACGTGGAGAGTACACAAATCTGGGTATATTTGCAATTTGTACTTTGCATTTGATTGAGAGAAAGAATTAATTGTAATAATATTTTATATATTATTCTATTAATGTGGACCATATAAATTAATTGGACCTAATTGAATTAATAGTCAGACTTAATTACGGTGAATATGTATTTAATAGATTATTTAATGTTCTAATATTAAAGAGTCCAATTTGTGATGTTTGACTTGGACAGTAAGTTAGGTTAGAACATGGGGAATGTTAGTGGGATTAGGATTGTAAGTCTCATCTTCCTATATATACTACATGCCCCTCTCTCCCATCTCATACGCAAATAAGGTTCTCAACATCAAGGTCTTTGTGAAAAGACGAGAGAAGCGGGAGAGAGAAACATAATCCTCGATCGGCCAGACATACAAGAACAGGGAAGGAGTAATGGATTCTTGTAAGTTTCTATGTGCAATTTAATTTATGCAAAAGATCCATGTTCTATGAATTGATAGAATTACATGTTTAGGGTTTATTCAATTCCGCCTAATTGTTATGAATATACCCGTTAAATTTCTTACATGTGGTATCAGAGCATGTGTTTATGCATAATTATATTGCCTATTAAAACTTTATGGTCTACCGGTTGAATTACTTTTGCCGATGCGTTATATATATGATTGATGTATATGATACCATTCGCTGCTATATATATATTTGTGTATCAATGGGGAAACAATATTTGATTCCCTGACATGAATTGATTCTTGCGCATAGTTGTGATAATGGATTCTTAAATCATATGAAGATGGGTTTTTTGTTTGATCACATTACATGATTAATGATTATATGCATGAGTAGATTCTTTTTTATCTGCGCAAATAAGTCCTGTCTTATACGCATTTGTTTGTTGGGAATGATCAGTATCAATTAATTGCTTTATACACATGTTATTTGTTTATGAAATAATTTCCAAACAGCATGTGTTTATGAATTGTGATGAATTATTTCGATCATTAGCTTGATATCCTGCTGCGTGTTTATATTTTATTTACTGTAAATATTAGAGGATAATTATGATGAGATTAGACTTTAAGTTGAACTCGTATTCTTGACTTAGAATACATATGTGAATGGTCTATTTTTCTGAGATAATTGCGAGATTAATAATGGTTTTAATAATCTCATAAAATATAATTAAAATAAAATATTATCTAATTATATTATCTATGTAAGAAACTAGTTAGTCACCAAAGTGGCCTAGTTTAATTTATGGAATAGATAATTAAATTAAATAAAAAATATCAATTATTCAAATATAAGACGATGTCTTATTAATGTACCCTAATATTGTAATATTTGAATGATTGATGTTATAGATTATAAACTAGGAGGACACCCAAAGGTGGGCCATGGTTTGTAATATATGACAATAAAAGAGAAATTATATTAAAGTTAGGTTAATTAGTGTGTTTGTCCAAAGATAACCACTAGTTGATCATAATTCTTGTAATTTCTATTAAAGATTATTTTCTCTTAGACATCAATTAAATACATTATATATTTAAGTATTGCCCAAAGGTTATTTAAATATATAATCTTAAATATTTCCGAATCCATAAAATTTTATCAAAGCATAATCTAATAGCATGTATTAAATTTTGCAGCACTTAATTCCGGTTTTCCGTCAGGCATTATGGTTGAAAAATTCAATGGAATGAACTTCACTGAATGGTCTGAGCACATCCATTTTCAGTTAGGTGCTATGAATTTGGATATGGCTCTAGTTAGTGATGAAGTACCCGCAACCATTACTGATGAAAGCTCCGAAGAAGAGGTATCTCTTCGTATGGCTTGGGAGCGATCAAATAGGTTGTGCTTGAATTTTATGAAACTAACCATGGCGGATAGCATTAAAGCTTCAATGCCAAAGGCTGACAATGCGAAAGACTTCCTAGGAAAGATTAAGGAACTATCTCAATCTGAAATTGCGGACAAGTCAATTGTGGGGAAGCTTATGGGCGAACTCACCACTATAAAGTTTGACTGGTCCCGCTCCATCCATGATCACGTAACCCACATGTCCAACATATCAGCTAAACTATCAAACATGGGAATGGAGGTGACCGACTCATTTCTGGTTCAATTCATCATGAACTCCCTACCTGCCGAGTTTGGCCAGTTCCAGGTGAACTACAACACCATTAAAGAAAAGTGGGACTATAAAGAAATTAGGGCCATGCTTGTGCAGGAAGAGGCGAGAATAAAGAAGGTGAAAGAGGAGTCGATTCACTTTGTATCTCATGTGGGAGCCAGCAAGAGCAAGATGAAGATGGGAAACAAAGGCAAAGGAAAGGAGGTTGGTCCACTCAAAGTTTCTGGAGGACCAATCATTAAAGAGTTGAGGTGCTTTTTCTGTAAAAAGTTAGGCCATCTCAAGAAAGATTGCCCGAAAAGGAAAACTTGGTTCGAAAAGAAAGGTATGCATTATGTTTCTGTATGCTTTGAATCAAATTTATTAGAAGTTCCCAATAATACTTGGTGGCTTGATTCTGGTGCAACTACTCATGTATCCCATATTTTGCAGGGATTCAGTTCGATCCAAATCATAAAGGAAAGTGAGCAATACTTATTCATGGGAAACAGGATGAAGGCACGAATAGAAGGCATAGGGACGTATAGATTGATCTTGAGCACTGGTTGTAATATAGATCTTGAAAGATGTCTTTATGTACCTGAATGTGCTCGCAATCTTGTTTCATTAAGTAGATTGGATCTTTTAGGTTATTTCTTTAATTTCGGTAATGCTTCTTTTTCATTGTACAAGAACAAATTATTTTGTGGCAATGGAAATTTGATTGATTCGCTTTACCGTTTTGAATTGCATAAAGAATTTTCTGAATCCTTGTTTAATGTTCAAAGTGTTCTTGGGATCAAACGTAGTGCATATAATGAAAATTCTGCTCTATTATGGCATCAAAGATTAGGTCATATATCCAAAGAAAGGTTATTAAGGATGGTGAAAAATGAAATCATCCCTCACTTGGATTTTAGTGATCTAAATGTATGTGTAGAATGCATTAAAGGAAAGCAAACTAAGCATATATTAAAGAAATCAGCCACTAGAAGCACTCAACTCTTAGAACTTATTCACACTGATATTTGTGGTCCATTCGACGTTCCTTCATGGGGCGGTGAAAAGTATTTTATCACCTTTACAGATGACTTCTCACGTTATGGTTATATCTATCTACTGCATGAAAAGACTCAATCATTGGAATATCTAAAGATATACATTGATGAGGTGGAAAGGCAGTTAGATAGAAAAGTGAAAGTTGTGAGATCTGATCGTGGGGGTGAATATTATGGTAGGTTCAATGAAAGAGGACAATGTCCTGGTCCATTTGCAAAGTTTCTCGAGAGTCGAGGCATTTGTGCACAATACACTATGCCTGGGACTCCTCAACAGAACGGTGTTGCTGAGAGGAGAAACCGTACTTTAATGGATATGGTTAGGAGTATGTTGAGTAATTCAACATTACCGTCATCTATGTGGATGCATGCATTAAAGACTGCTGCATATTTGCTAAACAGAGTTCCTAGTAAGGCAGTTCCTAAGACACCTTATGAACTGTGGACGGGTAGGAAACCTAGTTTGAGGCATCTCCATGTTTGGGGGTGTCAAGCAGAAGTAAGGTTATATAATCCACATGAAAAGAAACTTGATCCTAGGACAGTCAGTGGTTTTTTCATTGGCTATCCGGAAAAGTCTAAAGGATATAGGTTCTACTGTCCTAACCATAGTACGAGAATAGTTGATTCCGGCAATGCTCGGTTCATTGAAAATGATCAAATTAGTGGGAGTTTGGAACCGCGAAGTGTGGATGTCAATGAAACTCGGGTTGAATTGTCCAAGCCCGAGAGTCCATCAACGGTTGTTATTCCTCTAGTCGCAGTACCGTCACGCAACTTAGATGAACAACAGAATGATCCAAACTCATTTGATAATGAACCGGTCACAAGCAATCAAGAGATTATAGAACAACCTGTGGTAGATGCATCACAAGTTTCCAATGATCCACATAATGAAGTGATAGTGAGACGGTCGATAAGGGAAAAACGACCTGCTATCTCTGATGACTATGTGGTTTATTCTCTTGAGAGTGAATGTGACTTGAGCATGGATTTAGATCCAATGTCGTTTAAAGAAGCCATGGAAAGTGTAAATTCTGAAAAGTGGATCAATGCCATGAAAGAAGAATTAAAGTCAATGGATGACAATAAAGTCTGGAATTTAGTAGAATTACCTGAAGGGTCTAAGAGAGTCGGGTGTAAATGGGTTTTCAAAACCAAACGCGACTCTAAAGGTAATATCGAAAGATATAAAGCTAGACTTGTTGCTAAAGGATACACCCAAGAGGAAGGCATTGACTACAAGGAAACATTCTCTCCGGTTTCGAAGAAAGATTCCTTGAGAATTGTATTGGCAATGGTAGCTCATTATGACTTGGAGCTTCATCAAATGGACGTAAAGACTGCCTTCC